ATATTCAGTAAAAGGTTCAGATGACAGGATTTTTGTATTTATGAATGAGCTGTAGAGAGACAAGGCCTCCAAGGTAATGTGCACTCTAGTCGTGTGTGTTTGTCTTTTCCATACAGCCAGCTGATTTTCAGGAACAGCTGCATTGCTGTAATTGATCCAGTTGTTTTTGGTTGTGTGGGCCCAGCATTTTTAAATAATACTGTGTATCAAACTGGGCTCCACTGCTGTATGATGTACAGTAGATCACGAGAGAGAGATTCTGCAGCTCTGAAATTCCTCTTTCTTTCTTTTTTCTTCTCCCTCATCAGAGCCTGGAGGCTGCATTTTGTTTCAAGTGGGAATTTTGCATAGAATGAAAAATGAAAAAAACCCATCAGTGTTCTTCTTGTAAAGATTTTTTCACATAAGGGATTTTTAAAAATGCATTTAAACTCAGTGCAAGCTTCTTTAGACTGAAGCTTTGTATTGTTCAGGCTAGAGCGAGACCTCCTATTCTTTCCCTGGAGCTGGGCTAAAAGTGTTGCTTGGAAACTCATCAGACACATCTACGGCCATCTTGATTGAATTTTCCCAGCAGGAAATTGAAGTCATGTGTGCAGTGGGGTTTGGCCTAAGGAATGTTCCAAGATGAAACTTGGAAATATTTCTACTAGAGAGAAAAAACCCTTTTCTCTCAGAGGGCTTCCCTAGCTGGACAAAACTGACCTGCATATCACTGTAAAATTGTAATCATCATACATATGCAGGATTTTAAAACAGATTTAATATTACTAGTCTGCCATGGACATATGCAAATTAATACATTACATATTTAGGCTGTTTCACTATTTTATTTTCTTTCCCTCATGTCACTTCATGCAGCTGATATAGTCCATTTTCTTTGCAAGGAGAACATTCAGGAATACAGCTTTACGGAAAACATTGATGGTTTTCCAGTTCATCATCCCTTATATTAAAGTAGGTCGCAATAGACAGTTTCATGTTCCCAGGAAATATTTTCTGCCCACAGGAATTCACAAATTTGAACTTGATAGAGAAATTGAAACTGTTGCCTACGTTCTCTCGAACGTTAGTTATTGTGCCTCTCTCATTTCTTCTCTATAATTTGGTATAAAGAAACACAGATGAGCTGTCGGCTAGACAAGACAAGATTGTGAAATACTCAACTCCGCTTCAAACTGTCGCATCCAGCTGCGTTTTGAATCCTGTCCTGTACTTTTTTGTTATTTCTTTTTCTATCTGATGTCATTCACAATTTTCTGTTGCATTTGGTGGTGCATTCTGAATGTTAAGAGGTGTTCAGGCAGTTAATACACCTGCTGTGTTATGTCTGTCTGCAGGTCCATTATATCTTGCAGGAGGTGGTGATGGGAGGCATGGTGCTGGAGACCAACATGAATGAGATTGTAGCCCAGGTTGAAGTGCAGAACCGCATGGAGAAGTCAGAGGTCAGTCTGTTAACCACATTAAAGGACCATGCCAGTGTTATTTGCATATTCTAATCCACAGACTGCAACTTGTGTACAATGTCTCACGAGTGCTGGCCATTGTTTATACCACAGGTTCTTAGATAGATGAATGTGTTTCTTTTGCTTCCCAGGCTGCTACACTGGTTACCGTTCACTTATTGACCAGTAAAATCAGATTTGAAACCTAAATCTTTGCCTAAGAGGTTAGTCGGGTTCAAACAGGTCCGGTGTTGCGCCTACTGACACCTGTTTCCTCTGGTTAAAGGCATAATATGCAGGATTTGTTGCTGTTTTTAAAGGCACCATTCTGAGTTAAGAGAGCCAGAAAGAGCACCTTTGGTCAAACAACATAGAGAATCAATAAAGGGAGGGAGTGACGAGAACAAAGCAGTGAATCAAAGGAATAATTAATTGAAAATTATAATAATTATTTTCATAGGGGTCTTATGAGTCATAAGTGATGACAGAGGGATTATGTTTGTATGAGTCTATATCTATCTATGAATCCTACATAGTATGCCTTTTAAAGAAACGACCAATCAGACCTTAGTAGGATTAGTAGCTAAGAATGGGAATGTCAACTGGCAGGAAATTAAAGACAAGCTTTAAACAGTGAATTAATTAATCAACTTACAGAAATAATAATAACGCATTAAAAGAGTACTCCACTAATTCAGCATTGCAGTCTTACAGCACAGGACGCAGACCAATGTAGCAGAACCAGAGATATCGTCTTTATTATTCCACACATCTATTCTTCCTTGTCAAAACTTGGACCCCGGCTAAATACGCCTATTTCACATGAATTGAACATTTCCCATTCACATGAACACATGTTAGACTGACATTACATAAAATGGCAATTCAGTGTGTTTGTCTGGCTGACTCATTGTTGCTTTTATGTCCAAATGCAATTGAGGGCCTAGACTGTATTTCCTTTTTTATTCATTCAAGTGCTTGTGGAAAGGTCCTGCAGTGGACCTGAAATTCAGTCACATTCAACTGTATGTTGATGAAATAACAAGTGAAACATGAATGTTGTCAAAAGGGAATGTAGATTTGATTACTTCTTGAATTTAAAGAATAGGACTTAGTTTTGGAAAATGTGTTTATTTTCTTTTGCTGAGAGTTAGGAGAGAAGGTCAATGCCACTCTCATATATGTACATTAAATATGAAACTACAGCCAGGAGACGCTTAACTTATAGTCAGCTGCAAATATGGCTTGACCCCAAAATATTCTAACAAAAGGTTTCTCAGTGGTTTACAGTGGTATCAGATGTACTTAAAAACATACTAAAAGTTGACCAAAGTTTGACTCCAAGAAAGGCCCCATTTTCAAAAAGTCCTTTGTATTCCTCCTAGACCAGGAATACTGGTGCTTGATGCATGTGTTGGCCATGTAATATTCTAATTAGCACATTTGCATGATAGATTAGTGATTACAAGTACAATTATATATTAAAAATAAGTACAATTTCCCTTAAGTAGTTAGTATGTTATTAAGGACACCTAATATTACAAAAATCAGCTGAGAAACCTTTTGTTAGAATTTTTTTAGGGTTAGGTGTGTTTTTTTTGTCATATATGCAGCCGCCTATTAGCTTAGCTAAGCATAAAGACTGCAAACGGAGAGATAGCAATATGACAAAATCTGTCCAGCAGCACCTCTAAAGCTCGCTTATTAACACATTGTATCACAGTTTCATCTGTACAAAAACTATAGCCTACCACAAAAAACATTGAGGTTTTAGGGCAGGTTGGATCTATGGTATTTCTTTGGTAACAAAGCATATAAGCATATTTTCTAAAATGCCTAACTGTTCCTTTTACGGTTGCAGTTCTGCAGCCACATTTGTGTCACATCTCTGAATTCACATATATGCACGTACAAGGAACAGTTCCTGACAACATTGTTAAAAGTGTCTGCAACATGCTGCTGCCAATATTGCTAATATTATTGAGCTTAAGTATGCTCAAGATGTTGCAAGTTCACTTACATGCAGAAACCCTTGCACAGTGTGGTTTTTAAATGCCTACACACAGTGACTTTTAAAGGTGTTTTCCATGTTGTTTTATTTTGGTAGGGAGGTCTATCGGCAGCCCCCGCTCGCGCTGTCTCTGCCGTGAAGAACATGAACCTGCCCGAGATTCCCCGCAACATCAACATCGGAGACATCAATATCAAAGTGCCGAGCCTCTCCCCATTCTGAGCGGCGCTCCAGCTGAGCTCTGCAGGGCTGATGTACTACTGATACTGTTCCCCTCCACCCAGCTCTGCTGTTACTACAGAAAACAGTTTTTATATATGTATTATGGAACCACAGCAGCTTATTCTCTCCCTCATTCTTTTCACATGAATGGGAGATACGCAGTGGATTATGTCTGAGTTCTACTGTATACAATTTACAGATTGCTCCAGTTGAAGGATTTGCACAATAATGTAAAGTTTGACTCTATAAAGCATCTAGAGTAACATTAATATCTATATATTTTCTGCTATTTCTTCTGCGTTTTTTATTTTAATTCTCCTGTTGATTTCCTACTCCTTCCAAATAAATAATGAACTGTGCTGGCCCAGTTTTTGTTTTACTGCTCAACTCTTTTAAATCTCTTGACATTCATGAGCAGTTTGTCCCATCCAAGGTTTGAAAACGTTCCCTGTCTAGAGTGAGCTTCTGGACTCTGCACTGTTATAGGATCCCTTGGCTTCTGTATTGGGCTATAATAACTCAAACACATCTTTATCTCCTGTTCCAAATCTGTGTTCATACGGACTGGGATTAGACTCCTCCGCTTGGCTCTTGTCACAGTTTATTTTTCCTTCTCTGTAATATATTGTTGTCTCTGACATCCTTGTGATTTGTGAATAATAATATTGTCCTCCTGGGTGCAGATTGTGCTCAGTACGGCAAATGTAAAGGCTGTTTAGTTCCAGCCAAGTTTTAATGTGCTGTGTTAGTATCTTGCCAACATCTGTTCAGAGAGGCAGCAGACTAACTTCGACCTTTTCTGCCTCTTTAAGCGTTTGTATGAAGTGTGTTTGTGTCTTACTGGCTGTATTTAGTGGTCACATTGAATCAGATTCAGACTTTCATTTAAGCCATATTCTGCTAGAGTTTTGTCGAGCCTCTCAAGGAAGTGAATGTGTCTGTGTCAAAATCATTCCTTGCCAAGGTAAATCAAATAAATGAAATTGCAAATCTCTGTGATCGTGATGTTTTTGTTGAACAGCTCAGTCGAGACAACCTGGAGTTTTTCTTTTGTGTCAACAGGTGAGTTGAGTCACCAGGCTGTGGTCAACCAGGCTGTGGTGAACCAGCATCACGTAAAACCTGCATCAAAATGGTCAGGACACTCTGTACCTCTGAGTTCTTTCTGCTCAACCACAATGAGTTTGCAGTCCCTGTTGATACAGCCACATTCTTTCAGCCCCCCTTCCCTAATTTAGGGATTTTTTTTCAGGGGGGGGGATGTAGGGAGTTTTTCCCTCCCTACATCCTGAGCAAAACATGTGGTAGCTCTCACCACCTCCCACCTCCACCCTCACTGATGCATACTGTGAGTTTTTCACATCAGCCGGGATCATTCTAGCTCAACTTCTGCGTCTCATGCAGACTTAAATCAGCAGTGGACATCCAGCTACACAAGGTTTGGTATGTACTATTTTCCCCATGTTTGACATTTTAATTTATCCAACATGCCGCATGCCAAGTTATGTTTTCCTTCACAGCAAACGTTCTGTAATAGCCTGTGTATTAACTTTACAGCTTTTGCCATCTGGAGCAATGTTGCGCTGCTTCTTTGACACTGAGGAGGGTTTCTCAGAATTGGTCTGCAACAGAAAGGTTCCACCCTGACTGTTCACAAATGGTGCATGAATGCAGTAGAGATCGTATATAACCACTGTGAAGTGCTGTCTATGAAAAGTCAACACAAAGTTGACACAAAGCAGCCAGATGAGTGTTTGTTGCTTCTCCTTCTCCCTCATTCCTCATTTGATTTCACTGCTCTCAGTTCATATGAAGGATCTGCATATGACACAGCTAGTAAGCACTCTGTCAGTGGAATGCAAACAGTATATGACTTGTGCCATGCAGTTTTGAAAAGCTTGTTGCTTTAACTATGAGACAATTTATCATGTACTTGAAGTCCCAGTTTGACTTCCTGGCTCTGCTGTGGATTTATTGGTTGTCTGTCAACATCCAGTGTGGGCTGTACTGGATGTAAACTCTGCAGCTCCTATAGCTGGCTGTAGCGTATGTGTACAGTGTGGAGCTGAGGCCACACACGGCTCATAGTGTAGGTCACAGGTTCACGTGCAGGTAGAATGATAATGCAAAAGTGTGTGTGTGTGGATACTAAAGGTATTTTAGAGTCACATTGAGATAAGATTAACTTTATTGATCCCCAACAAGAAATGTGGTTTAAAGGACAAAATGTGAGAGAAGAGATAAATCATGCAAACAAAACAAGTCTGTGTCATGCTAGTGATTCTTATCAGCCAAACTAAGATTTACAGTAAGTCAGTAATGTCAAATTTCAGTCCTTCCCAGATGAACACCTTTACTATCACTAACTACTCCTATTTGGATTCACCAAATAAAATGTGCACTGGGAATATTGTATAGAGCATTTAACACACAGGTTCTTGCACAGGTTCTGCCCAATAAGAATATACAGAACAGAGGAGAAGAGTGTGTTCAAATCACACTAGGAAACAGGTGGTCACATGGCTCTTTTGTTGTCATTTTTTACTCCGTGAAACTATGTGATTTTGTAAGCCCAAGATAAACATTCCCACTCACAAGATTATCCCGCTCTCTGCTGGCAGGGGAAAGTGCTTGTGATTTGTTTGGCTTATATTGCTTATTAACTTGGCCTAAAGGGACATTTGGGACATTAGAAGCATTTATCTAACAGACTGCTGATTAATTACCCCTAAGGTCTTGTTAACCCCTGCTTACCGATCTCATGGACTGATTGTGCTTCACCCTGAACAACAGCGACATAGTCATTTTGGAATTTAAGCACAGACTGCACTTGGAACATACTCCACCTGATCTGTTATATTAAGATTTAATATTGTTTCTATGTAGGATATAATACCAGTACCAGCTCAGCCTTACCCGCTATAACCCGGGATGTTTTCTAAATGGTTGAGTTTATAGATTTTCTTAAACAATCTTGATTTGAAATAGATAATAGATAAATACCGCATTTTACCCTGGAATTATTCCAAGGCAGACTATCTACATTTGTAGGGTCTATGGCAATAGCTTTTTTGGCTTAAAATGAAAACAGTGCAACCTTTCTATTGGTTTCACAGTTTGCAATCCAGCCTGAAAACGTTCAGCCCTTTACTGCATCCTGCCTGCAGGGCAGAATAGTATTGTATATAATTACAACAACGTTTTATTTGGTAAATATTTACGCCGGCTATTACTTCAGCATTACCACTTTCAACTGCAGATGTTTTCATCTTTCAGGCACTGCATGGCAGAAGCCCAGATGGCTGAGAGCATGTTGAGTTACCATCATAATAATCTAGCAGAGAATTATCTGTGTGCAAATAAAGTCTAAAAACAAATACAAGATTTGTAAGAGCTGAAGTAAACTTCCCAAATACAGGTTTCTGTTACAGAGGAAAACTTATTTTTAGCTGTGGCCTCTCACTATCTAAAGGTGCTACAGTAAAACTATTACAGCACATTATGGGTTGTAGATTAACCATCACTTTAGGTAATCTCAAGTAGGTGTATGAAAGGAGGACCAACCTGTTTGTACCGTTCACTAATAAAAAAGCCTACGTTGTGTCTTTTGGTAGCTTGTCATATCATCATGAAGCCCTGTTACCCTCGAGCAAATAGCTGCAGCATCCTGACCAAAATTAGAAAGTCAGAAAGCCACGTGCCTTCACTTACTATAGTTTATTAGAATAAAATAAAAATAACTGGGAGGTTATGGGTTTCAACCATCAGTTGCAGTTGTAAATGTTAGCAAATCATTCCTAGGAACGTGAGTTGTGGACTTTTGACTGCAACTTATGGTCTTCATCAGCAGATAAAGTTCGCTCAGTTGTCATCCCATTAAAGTATGCAACTTCAGTCAAGGTCCAAGGTCAAGAATTAACTTGCAGTTTACAAAATGAATACAGTAAGACTCCACATAATCCCGTTAGTGTGCCCCAGTAGAAAGGGGTGAACATTTAATAGATAATTTAGGACACTAAAAGAATATTCTTATCAAACGATTTCATTATTTATTATTTGCTACTACAACAGTTATGACAAATAAAATACTTGTGAGTCAAGGACTATTGTTGACCAAACCCACACACCTGTATCTGAACAGCTGACAGATCTGCTGACATTACTCCCACATGTACGGTAAAATTGATTAGATGATGACGTTGTAGAGGAAACATCTGTACATGCTGTCAGATAGGAAGGGAAGGAGGGAAGACAATTTGTACAGTCAGGATTTTGTACTTAAAATAGCAGAAGTAAAGGCTTTGAGTTTGTTTTATATTCTGTAATGTATGTTAGTATGCTTTATAGCAGACATTACATGAGCTGATCACTGTGCAGTTACTGATAATGGAAAGTGATTTTGATATACAGGAGGAAACAGCGCACCTCCCACTGAAGCCAGCAGGATTATGTCACTAGTAAACTTTAATTGAGTTTTATTGAAGGTGAAAATATGCTTTTAACTTCTCATTGTTACATCATTGAAAATAAACTTCCACCCTCATGGAGACAAACTAAATGGAGGTACTAAAGATTGTAGGATTAATAAATATAATTTGAATGACTTGCCACTGAAAGTGTTATCTTCCCTACATCATGATGACAAGTCATGAACTACAGTATATGAGTTTTCCATTTTATATGAGACTACATAAAAATGTCAGGTTGCTGGGAATATTGTGGGAAGATATCAGTTGTAAATGTTACTTTGATAGCACAATTAATTAGAGTCTGTTTTATAATGTTACACTCATTGCTCTAATCAAATTGTTAATGCCTGTACAGAAGTGATAGTCACCATGGGTTATTTCCTCCTGGACACTAGTTGTAAAATAATCCAGATGACTTGTCGTGACTGCTGGTTACGCACAGAAGAGCTAATGACAAAGTGAAATGGAAAAATACCACTAGGAAATGTACTACATGACATACAGTTATCACAGACTGAAAGACAGAAGAGCTGTCTTCCAGTCGAATTTTATGTGTGTTGACGAGGAACCTCTTTGCAGTGCCGTAGTGAATACAAAAGTAATATAAAACATTTGTGATTATATTTAGTAGATTTCGTGGTGGCACGCAATGTAAAACCTTATATGAAAACCAGTTGAGGATGCTGGTAATGTGTACTTATGATAGCAACTAAAAATGATTGACTGAAATGTAATTTATTCATATTAAACAATACTGTACTTGTACCACAAAGCAACAATGACCAAGTGCAATGCCAGTTTTGAACCACACAACAACATGAATTGACATTTGGGAACTTAAGAGCTGCTGAGTCACAGACTAAATGACCAAGGTCTTCCCATCTTTCCATTTCTCCTTAGGTATGATGAAAATGTCTTTTTTGCCATGTTAATAGCTCAACCATTAACTGAGGAGGGAAGAGCCCTGCTGTACTGGACAAACACAGACTGAGACCCCTCAGAGTCCTTCTCTGACCTCCTGAATCGGACATGGGGAAAGTCTACTATGTCAGTAAAAATGTGGGCCTCGGGATGCTTGTATTGGCGGTCGCCGCTCTAGCTACGATCATAGCTCTGTCCATTGCCTACGACAAGGAAAGGGCCAAGAATCGAGGCAAGCCTGGAGATGAAGCAACAGACAGCACTAGCATGCCCCCACCCCCCACCACCCCTTTCATCCCGAAGGAGCCCTGGGATCATTACAGACTTCCAGACTCCCTTGTTCCTCTGTCCTACAATGTGACCCTGTGGCCCAGACTGGAGCCCGACGCACGCGGCATGTTCGTCTTCACTGGACATTCAGCTGTGGTCTTCAGATGTGTGAAGGAGACAGACCTTATAATCATCCACTCCAACAAGCTGAACCTGACCACCTTCTACGGGCACCATGCTAAGCTGACAGGCCTTGGTAAAGCCACTGTGCCCACCATACAAAAGTCTTGGCTTGTTGTGAAGACGGAGTATCTGGTTCTCCAGCTACACAGCAGACTAGCTGTTGGATCGTTGTATTTGCTTTACACTGAATTTCTGGGGGAGCTGGCAGATGACCTGCAAGGCTTCTACAGGAGTGAATACATTGAAGATGGTGTGAAGAAGTAAGCAATGGCATAGTAGAAAATAAATAATGGTGCATCATAATTGTGTTCTTGACAGTGAGTTCATGGTTCCAATGTTCCTCTTGGTAGGACTTTGCTTGGTTGATGTCTATTTTCTGATAATGTTTAATTGGAACCTTTACAGAGTTGTTGCTACCTCGCAGATGCAAGCAACCTATGCCAGGAAAACCTTCCCTTGTTTTGACGAGCCCGCCATGAAAGCCGTCTTCAATGTCATCATCATCCATGACCGAGCCACTGTGGCTCTGTCTAACGGCAGGGACATTGGTTCGTTTGAGAAATACATCAATTCATTCCTTTCAAATATTTTGTTATACATCTTAATTCTCTGTGAAACTGGGTACAAAAGTAAATTGTAAAATCAAAGTGCAATACAAGAAACACAAATTGTGGTTAGTAAAGGTCTGTAATAAAAGTGATTTTAAAGGGACAGTTCAACCCAAAATCAAAAGTACATGTTTACACTTGTAGTGCTGTTTATCCATCTACATTGTGTCGGTGTGAGTTGCCGAGTTGTGGAGATATCCCCAGAAGAGACTTCTGCCTTCTCTTGAATATTATAGGAACCAGATGGCACTCAGCTTGTAGTGCTCAAAGTGCCAAAACAATACATTTGAAACACTCAACAGCAGTGTCTCTTTCCAGAAATCATGACCCGGTTACTAAAGGTAATCCACAGACCTTGTTGTGTGAGCAGATTCATGAGTTTAATTCCTTTCTATGAATAACAGTGCAAAAGGAAGCGTACATCTGTTGATAGATGAGAGGCTTGTGCTGTGCTTGTGACAGCGCAGGATGTAAAAAAAAATAAAAAATGTCATCCTCCTTGGCTGAGCTGTAATGTTAGCTACCCCACATAGTTTCCATATAAAACTCCTCACAACAAGGTCTGTGGATTATCTTCAGTTACTGGGTCATAATTTTTGGAAAGAGACAGTTCAAATGTACTTTTTTGGTGCTTTGAGCACCACAAGCTGGACCATTATATTGGAGGGAACACTTTCATCTCTACAGCCGATATCTATAATATATATAACTCAGCAACTCACAACAAAACAATCTAGATGGATGAACAGCACTGCAGGGAACAGGAACTGTCTCTTTAAGAGTAAAACATATGCCTTATTAACTAATGTGTGAGAGAGTTTTCATTGTAAATAATTAATAACTTTGACCATGTTATAAGAAAATCAGCAACTACATGGTGTTAATGTTAACAGAGTGTCAGAGTCTAACGCTTCCCCTCTCTGAACAGACACAGTAGACTCTGTCATTGATGGCGTGCCTGTCAGTGTGACTACATTTGAGCCCACAGAGAGAATGTCCACATATCTGCTGGCATTTATTGTCAGTGACTTTGTTAAGATTCAGTCAACCCAAAACAACAGTTTATTGGTAAGATTCCTCTGCTCCCTGTTGATGTTTTTGTTACCACTGTGGTCAGCTTACAGATTAAATCAGTGTTAATTAAGACGTCACAACATTGTGTTTCTGTAGCAATACAAATTTTACAAAGACAAAGATTATTCGGTATGTGGCTTAAAAGCTGTCAAATTCTTTGCAGGTCCGAATCTGGGCTCGAAGAAAAGCCATAGCTGACAGGCAGGGGGACTATGCTCTCAGCGTTACAGGGCCGATCCTTCAGTTCTATGAGCACTACTACAATGCAACATATCCGCTCTCCAAGTCAGGTAGGTCAACTCTGCATCAACACGCTTACGCAAACATTTTCATGTGAAGATTTAAATATTAATCTCATTTCCTTTATCCCACTGAGCCCAGCATTCAGTCTTTGCAATTGGAAAGAGAAACATTTTGTTCATTGCGTGCAAGCTGTGCACATTTGCTGTTGGACATTTTAACCTGTATTTGTAAGGATTTTTAGCAGGTAAAATCTATTTCAGATTTTAGACCAACATTACAAAACACTGTCAACAAGACTAATGTCTACAGCCATGATCTGAGGCTGCACACACAGCAATGCTTTTAGGTAAATGCTAATCTAATTTCTGCTGTCCTTGTCCTCCCCAGATCAGATAGCTCTGCCTGACTTCAATGCTGGGGCCATGGAGAACTGGGGTCTGATCACATATAGGGAGACGGCCCTGCTCTATGATCCCATGTTGTCCTCCACTGGAAACAAAGAGAGAGTAACAACTGTAATCTCACATGAACTCGCACACATGGTAGGCCATACTATTTCTGCCAAATTGCTGGGATTACATCAAAAAACGAAAAACAAACAAAACACAGTAATGTTGTACACATAAATTTAGCCAGAGTATTCAACCTCCCCTTGCAAAAAAGATGACAGATAATCACCTAGGGACAAATTAACCCTGCTGACTTTAGATGTATTTAAAACCTGACATAATAAATGATGTGAAATTCTGTGGTTGGGAATTTTCTTTAGCACCTGCTTAGTCAGAGCTGAACTTTAGTGGTAATGTTGGCCAAAATCTTAACTCACTGAAGCAGAACTCTTTATCTCTTTACTCTTGTTTTTTTTAGTGGTTTGGCAACTTGGTGACTCTGCAATGGTGGAATGACCTGTGGTTGAACGAGGGGTTTGCATCATACGTGGAATACCTCGGAGCAGACTATGCTGAGCCCACCTGGAACATTGTAAGAACCATGCTTGTAATTCAAAGACAGCGTGCCCTTACAAGTACAGAAGTACTGTAACATTTCATGTATCAGTGACCTCTCACAGACAAGCCTGTCCTAACTCATTTCTCTACTTGGCTGCAGAAAGACCAGATAATACTTTCTGACGTGCACAAGGTGTTTGCTGTCGACGCCCTGGCTTCCTCCCACCCGCTGTCCCGCCGAGAAGAGGAGGTCAATAACCCTGCTGAGATCAGCGAGATGTTCAACACCATCTCCTACAGCAAGGTCCGCTCCTCTGACAGAATTGTATACAGCATCTGCAGGATCTTATGCAGACATACAGTACTTATTGGTATTTTACCCTTTCACATTTTTCTTAGAAGTATTACAGGCAATATAGCCAAATCTGTAAGAATGTAAAAAATTAGGCAAAACCTTATGACATTGGCAGTTTTTATTTTTTATTGTCTACCTTTAGGCAGTTTTACCTCACCTGGAAAATGCATATCGCAGAAACACTGTTTACAAGAATCTTTGTAATTTCTATCACCATTGGAGAACCTAATATGTACTTTGGGTTAAATGCAAAATCCTTTGCTATTATGAGAAGTTCAAGCCAAACAAATTCTTGTGGTTTCTGTATTTGATGTTTTCAGGGAGCGGCGGTGCTCAGGATGCTGTCAGAGTTTCTCACTGAGCCTGTGTTTGCCAAAGGACTCAGTGTGAGTAGTAACTCTGTTAAAGGCCTCATCACTTAATTACTGCTACTATGCCGTATTGTTAGTCTAACTGTTCTGTGTGAGTAATAAGATTACTCAAGATGTTCTAACATGTTGTCTAATGAGTATTACAGGAAAGGGGATGTGTTGACATTAAATTATGCTTTACCTGCTGTTTATAACTTTATCTTGTTAGTCTTACCTGAACACATTCGCCTTCAACAACACAGTGTATACAGACTTGTGGGACCACCTCCAGAAGGTCAGTTAAAAACGTCACAGTCACGCATGATTTCACCTGGCAATGTGTCATTGGGTGTGTGTGAATCCTGCTACCCTCTGTTTGTTGTCAGGCAGTTGAAAACACACCAGGTATGCATATTCCTCACACCGTCCACAACATCATGAATCACTGGACTCTTCAGATGGGCTTCCCAGTGGTCACTATTGACACCCGGACAGGAAGTATCACCCAGAAACACTTCCTGCTGGATCCAGACTCTGTAGTGGACAGGCCCTCTCAGTTCAAGTAGGAATAAGTTTTACCTTATCCTGTAAGTTCCATGTAGGCAATGAATGAAGACTGATTCCTTAATGAATTGTCCACCATTTGGATAAATGTCTATCTATGTCTTGACAAAAGCTATGTACGGCTGTACTCAGGCACAGCACTTCAAGACAAATGCTAACATTGGCATGTTAATATTCTCAAAATGATAACACTAACATGTAATGTTTCTCATGTTCACCATCTTAGTTTAGTTTGTTAGCGTATTATAATTTGCTGCTTAAAAGTTGCTAGATGAAGAGCAAGAGGATAACTAAAGTTATCACAACTCATCTTGATGGTGACATGAATGTCTGTACCTAATTTTATGGCAATCCATCCAATGGTTGTTGAAACTCACTCAAATCCACGAATGTGAACCTGGAGAAGAAAAGTCAGAGGATCACCGAAGTCAGTAGGGATTATCCTCTAGGGACCATAACTATATATACCACATTTCATGGCAGTCCATCCAATAGACAGAAAGTCAGACCAAGCATTGTTCCACTTTCACTCATCGTCTTTATTGCTGTTTCTGTCCAGTTACACATGGTTTGTCCCAATTAAATGGATGAAGACAGGTGTGGAGCAGCAGCAGTACTGGCTCCTTCAAAAGACAGGTATGGCCATAGTAACATCTCACTGCTCTTCTGTATTAGATCAGCATACTAGAGAAGAAAAGACTTCCTACCATATGAGTGGACTTGAGTGGACCACTGAATATCTTAGATATCTCTTCAATATTTTTCACCAGACATCAACAGTCAGATGAGAGTGTCAGGAGAGGACTGGGTGCTGGCGAACACTAATGTATCTGGATACTTTAGGGTAAACTATGACCTTTACAACTGGGATCGTCTTCTCTCCCTGCTCAGCACCAACCATCAGGTGAGCCTATTCACTTGTCGGAAGTTGCAGTGACGGTTTTGTTTATGCTGCATGTCCACTTTTAGATGAATACAAACAGATCTGCATTATGCAACGATGATTGCAGACTTGCCCTCTTAAGTTTAAGTTCAGGTTCAAGTTTATTTGTCATTCCAGCTTAAGAGTGGATGCTGAGTTTGGCTGGGTTGGCCAATCACATACTGTTTGTGTACATCCTAACAAATAAAAATACATTTTCTACCAAGGAGAATGGACCTAGAGAGTAGTGCACATGCAGAGGATTTTATTTACTTTATTTCCTGTTAAATGTAGAGCTCATGTAGAATTCTTGCTTCAATTTGAATCCCAGGATTCCAATATCAAATGTGATTTGATACTGCGACAGCCTAAGGAAATAATAAAACAAATGTCTAACAGCTTCTTGCAGAAATTGTGGCTGTTCTATTTGCATCACCACACAGGTTTGGTTGTCTGTGTTTGTAGATTTGAACATGTATGTGTTTGTGTGTGTCATTTCTTTTAGGCTTTATCAATCATCAACAGAGCACAGATCATAGATGATACATTCAACCTAGCAAGGTAATGAAAAATAAGTATTTAATCCGTCACACTTTGTATGTCTGCAAAGAATGCGAAGGATTTGTTCCCTTTGTGTAGAGCCAAAATAATCAGTACAACATTGGCCCTGAGAACTACCAAATACCTGTCCAAGGAAAGAGACTACATCCCCTGGGATTCAGCTCTGAGAAACCTCGACTACTACATATTAATGTTTGACCGCACTGAGGTTTATGGAGCTTTACAGGTTAATACTGCTTTACTACTAATACTAATACTGTCCATTCTGATACTATTGGGAGAAGTATATAAAGGGAATGTGTAAGACAACTGGACATAAAAACGATTGCCGATATATTTTTATTTTAGGCATACCTCAAGAAACAAATCCAACCACTTTTTGAGCACTTCAAGACCATTACAGCTAACTGGACCAAAGTACCTACAAAGCACACTGACCAGTAAGAATTCTTAAAGCAGTAGTGACTTGCAATGCAATATTTCATTTGGATTGTTACCTTTTCCAACAGCCTCACACATAGGCCTTTGGATATTGTCATGCTATATTGCAGTTTTTCACAGTTTTATTAAATATCTCCCTTCTTAGGTATAATCAGATCAATGCTGTTGGATATGCCTGCGGTATGGGTGTGGAGGGTTGCAGGGAGCTGATCAAAAGCTGGTACAGACAGTGGATGGAAAATCCACATCACAACCCGTGAGTACAAAGCAGTTCTTTTGAGTTTTTGTATTTGCACAAATGTGACTGCTGGACAGTTTGTGCACTCTGTGTTAATTCACCCCTGACAGCCACTGAAACAACCGTATGTTAGCTGTAGCTAGCAATGTACACACCAAGTGTCTGAGGAGTGATCCTGTGTGATTAGTATTTATATTCTAATCTACTGTATGTTTATCTTAACGTTGACCAGGATCCATCCAAACTTGAAAAGCACAGTTTACTGTAGTGCCATAGCCTTCGGGGGCGTGGAGGAGTGGGACTTTGCCTGGAGAATGTTCAAGAACGCCACTCTGGCATCTGAAGCTTCCAGGCTCAGGGCTGCCATGTCCTGCACCAAAGCTCCTTGGCTTTTGAACAGGTACAAGCAACATTCAGATTAGTTTATTCAATCTTTCAAAGTGTTGAATGAAGAGATAATGAAACACCCGTCTATGCATGTACTCTACCATGTACAACAATGTAACAGAACATTTATGCAAGAGTGGGGAATTTGTATCTATTCTGCAGTCTACTTGTTCTTGTTCTGGCAACAGTGGCACTAGAAGAAAAGAGTCATAAAGTCAGCGAACTGATCCACAGCAATATATACCTAATATTTACTAGCACTGGCTAACATTAGCCATCATAAGTTAATGGTTGAATTTGTAATAGGGAGAATGTGCCATTCGGTTGTTCAAAAGTTTCATAGCCTCACTTTCATTATTCACACTAATTAAGCTGTTGGACTGTTTGTGCGCTGTGTGTTTATTTGCCTGAACTTTCTGTACAGTCATTAGCTGTAGCTAGTAAAATACACATGTGTTTGTGTGACAGCTCAGGCTTTGGCTGAGAATTCACCAGTTAAAATATCTTCTACTAACATTGACCACTCTTCACCCTAATCCGTGCTGTTCAGACAGCCCATTATTCTAAAACCCAACCAAGTAGTTTTGATGCCTTAATCTGACCTAACATATTATTATCAGTGTTACGATGGCAACGGAGAACCCCCCCCTTCCTGTATGTCCAAATACACTAAGATATCAAAGCCAAAAAACTCCAGGGAGAGTATGTATTTTAGGAGAAATCAGCATTGGTCTTTTGTTTTTGGAATAACAGTCTGTTGGACAAATGTTCTTTTGGTCTGATGGGACATTTTTCTGACTATTGTGGGGTTTTGAAAATAATTGCCTGTTATAATGATGGGAATTTCCCAATCCATGCTACCCCTAACCCCTAACCCTAGGGGGAATTTTCTTCTTTCCATTAACTCTCATGCAACTGAGCTGTGGCTCAGATTTGCTTTGCATTCTGTCTGAAAACACCATTAAAGCTAAATCAACTATTTTAGGATAGCAGGTAACCCTAACACAGTAAGGTAACCAGGTAAGAAACCCTTTTTACATGCTCCAGATGTTTGAAATATTTAATGGTGGGCTGAATTAAATCTATTAAGATAGTGTTTTGGAAATTATATCTTTGTAATAAGAAGTTTTGGTTGAGCCAGGTATCTGGAATACACACTCGACCCAACTAAGATCCGCAAGCAAGACGCCACCTCTACCATCCAGTACGTTGCCAGAAACATTGTGGGGATGCCGCTGGCCTGGAACTTCGTCAGGGCAAGATGGGGCTACATTTTCCAGCAGTAAGAGCTCACTCTTCACAGGAATTAATTAAGGATGGAAGAAAATTTAATACACAGAATCCACAGCAGGTCTCAGCTAAGTGTAAAAGTTAAAACAGCTGAGTGCATATGGTGGTATTTCCCTTCACTTACTCACACGTTATTTGCCTTTATTTTCAGACTTCCTGTTTACATAGAAATGATTGTGTTTTTCCTTCCCAGGAATATGTTGAATGTGAGCAACAGTAGGATATGCACAATTTCCTTCTGCTGATCACTACATCTTTAAAGTGAACTTTATTTTTTATTAAGGTATGGAAAAGGATCATTTTCCTTCTCAAATCTCATCAATGGAATCACAAAGAGGTTCTCATCAGAGTTTGAGTTGCAGGAGGTATGACGCCCACACAGCCACAACAATACTGAAATACACACTGTATTTCCCTGAGGGTATTTAGTGGAAAAGAAAGACAACAAATGCAGAATTCATTTTTTCTCTCTTTGTTTTGCTGTGTCTCTTTCCAGCTGAAGAAATTCAAAGAAGAAAACCTTCATGTTGGTTTTGGCTCAGCCACCTTGGCCCTGGAGCAGGCTATAGAGAAGACCACAGCCAACATTAAATGGGTGACGGAGAACAAAGCCCATGTGCTGAAGTGGTTTACTGAGGAGTCCAAATGACAACACTTGGACGGTCTTTTTAGTGCAGTCAGGGATATGTATTGAATGACTATCACTATAATCATCAGGAACAACAGATGGGTGGCAATTTTTCTTGGCAATAGTTGTGCAATGACAACTGATGTGACACAATACTTCACTGGAAATCACATGTGCCACTTGATACCAGTGGTATAGCAGTAAATACTAGAGCGTAACTCTCGCCTCTAGTCTTTGATTGTCAATGAACAAAGAAATATTGTTTTATTCGCATAACATTTATTTTCATTCTCAGAAATGCATTCATTGATGTCTTTTTCTTCATTTTAATATTATATGTTGCTGCTTACTATGATGTATGCAATGCACATAAACGCGGGGCCTTCAACCACTTTAACACCAGAGCAACTTGTGTTCACTGACACTGATTCAAGTGAGTGAAACCTGTGACTGCCATTAGGGACCCTAAACATGACAATTTACTTTTGTATTTCAGATTGACTGCATACATATGTGTGTATCCCTGCAAATGTGCAATGAATGAGTTTTTAACAACTGTTGCCCTTTAGTGGTAGGAGAGAAAGATATTGTAAAAAGTGATCTTACTGAATAAATTTGCCTGATTTGATTTCTATTAGGCTTGTTGTTGTTTTTCCTTTTTAAAACTTGATCATTAAATCATAAATCATTGCACTAATTGTCTGCTAAGTCTATGCAACACCCTTCATACACTTTAGATTTTGCACTCACTTAACATTGATACACTATCATTGTACAATGACGGAAGAGTAAGATTAGCAACGAGGCGAACCTTCTCTCGATTCAGCCTGTTTGAAACAGACACCAAGAGACTGACAGTTCAAGGAGACACAGCTGATAAGAGACTTTACTGGCGTTTTATAACCTGCATAAAGTTGAAAATAATGAAAGGTTAAAGGGGCTCTACACTGATTTCACATGTCAAAGTTAATCTACAGGTCACTAGGAGTAATACACAGCCTGTCAACAGCTGTGTAATGTCTTCTGTGGCTTTTGAGAAAGGGACTCAAGTGACATCACCCTGGTATTTGGGCTTGAAGAAACAAGAAGTGGACATAGAGTATGAGAGCATGAAGGGCAGGCAGGTCTATTGACAGATGCTATCATGTTTGGGAAGCAACCTTAGAAATTTTACTAACTGTCTCTCTGCAATCGCTTTAACATCTTAGCTGGCAAATGTCTAGCTAAGTGCAAATATAAAGACAAGCATAGAAGTGGGAGAATACATTTTATTCAACCCAGTGGGAAAGCATTCTGTCTGATGTGCCACACATCGCTATTGCATTTTAAGGTTTCTAATGTCCAGCACCATGTCACTTCACTTCAAGCTAATGTGGACCAGGAGGTCTCCAAAGCTACTGAGATCTACGAGCGGAAATGAAACACTTTACAACGTCAGCCAGAAAAGCAGATCCAGTTGTATTTAACAAGTATTTTTGATCCTGCATCATATCAGCGAGCATGGAACATGGTGCATGCTAAAAATGTGTGCAGCAAAGATGAACTTTTAAAAAAAGGACTTTGTCAGGACAGCTATTATTTCTCCATTGTCCTATTAGACCTTTAGCTCAACCTTCTGAGTCCAATATCATACATTGCGAAATACTGTTGTATTATAAATCTTAGGAAATGCCTGTAGGCATATTTGAGAGCATCACACTGGATTATCCCTCAAGACAAGACACAACAAGTTCAAGATCAACTGCAGATAGCAATGATTGTATATTTTGTGTATGAGGATTGTGCAATATCTTATTCAGCACTCAGATCTGGATCTGTTGCAGATTTTTCCTGACTTGGTACAAACAGTGTTCCCCTTTGGCAACAAATGGAAACTCTTTAGGACTAATTTTCAAATGGGAGATCTGGGTCACTTCTTGGCGCAAGTAGACGAGCAGCTGACGTGCTTTAAGTCAGGCAGACAACACTGCTTAAAAATTAGATTCCATAATTGACAGGTGAAAAAGCCGCTGAATCCACTGAGTCAACACTAACTAAATACAAGGTAAGAAAAGGTATTGTGGAAAGGAAAATAGTTTGCTGTCATTACGTCATACTGTAATTTGGTGTCTCTGTGTCTGCCTGCATGTGATGTGGCTCTTGCTATGTTTAGACTAGTATGAGTATTTTTTTGTGTTCTTACCAGGTTTTCAAACCAAAGAACAGACTTACTTTGAAAAAAGACTAGGGCCTTCTTTGGTTGGGTTGTACTGCTGCCAGTGAGACCAGAAAAGCCAGTTTGAGTGATAGATCTACAAGTTTGAAGGTTTGTAAGACAATATTTTATCCTTGTTCTTGTCAATCTGCAACCTTGACACTAGATTTATCACGTTAACATCAGGAAGTTATCTTCCATGAATGAGCGCTTGCATGCGTTTGACTGGTCAAGAGCAAGGTGCATCGCTTTGCAGCTAAAGTTAAACCAAGATTATCTTTTTTTCCGTACGACCATACATTATTTTCTCTTAGCTGGCTGACCACACAGCATCACTGGGCCTGATTCACCAAAGATATCATTTCCTGTCATGCGTTTGGACATAATGACGAGTTCACACTCAACTAATAAGAGGTCTGACTGTCAGACTTGTTGTCTCAGTTCAGTGCTGATGCTTCTGTTTTACTTCATGTTATAAGGCAAGTTGAATTCATTGTATGATCTGCTTTATTATTTTTATATTTATATACATATTATAGCTGTTTGCTTACCAAAAATCCAAACATCATCGGAAGACATTTATGTCCCTCCCAAGTGTAAAATATGTTTCTGTTTAACCATTGGAATGTTTCCATTTCTTAAAGCCGCAACTGTTTTGGTCAACCAAAGCAAAGTAGCATTTAGAGTTTGCACAACATTTAAGGGCTAAATACAAGTTTATGCAGGGTTATAAACCCTTCTTTTGCCCATTTCATTATACAGCTCTGGCTTTGTCACTATCAGATAGCCAGATCTGTTTATGCACATTGACATTTGCAAACTGTACAGACACACACAGACACACACACACAGTGTTCTACTATATTTCAACTAGCACACAATTTACAGTACTGAATAAACAGAGACAACACAGCACAGCAGCTTTTAAATAGGGTCTTTATTCAGAACAATTATACAGGTATAAAGTTCACAGATTAGACAGGATCCCCTCTTATCTCAAGGTCTTTTACAACTCAGTGTTTTGTACTTTCAGCTGTTATCCCCGCCCAGGAGATCAACGATTAACTTTGGGCTGAATCTAAAAAGGCAGGGCATAAATAGCGATCTATATCCCCCTTCTGTCTTCTTCTTCTCTGGTGGAGTCATGGGGAAAGGCGTCTACCTCAGCAAAGCGGTTGCAATAGCCTGTGTGGTTGTAGCCATCAGTGCTGTGGCCACCATCATAGCTCTGTCTGTGGTTTACGCTCAGGAGAAGTCAAAGAATGGAGACACACTTCCATCCACTACCAGCCCCAGCACCACCCCCAGTCCTTCCACAACACCCTCCACCCCGAAGGAGCCCTGGCAGCGCTACAGACTTCCAAACGTCCTTGATCCACACTTTTACAATGTGACCTTGTGGCCCCGGCTGATGCCCAACGAACAGGGCCTGTACACATTCGTGGGAAACTCCAAGGTGGTTTTCAGATGTAAGAGGGATACAGACCTCATCATCATCCACTCCAACAAGCTCAACCTTACTCTCTTCGAGGGATACCATGCCAAGCTCAGTGCCCTCGATGGAGCCACTGCACCCAGCATTAAAAAGACCTGGCTGGAGGTTCCCACCCAGTACCTGGTGGTACAGCTCAACAGCCGGCTGCAGAACGGCACCCGGTACGAGCTCTTCACTGAATTTATTGGAGAGCTGGCGGACGACCTGGGAGGATTCTACAGGAGTGAATACATGGAAGATGGGGTGAAAAAGTAGGAAATTCTTTTTAATCTTATTTTAATTGTTTTAATTTAATTTGTTAAAACGTCTGTTTAGTTTTGAGAGTTATGTGATTAAGAAGTGTAAATATTAATATAATGCAGGATTTAAACACCTTGATAACTTTACAGGCATTAACCATTCAACATCAACCATTATTTAGGGTGGACTATTAATAACAATGAACCTTAATAAAATGTAATATTTAGAAAAATAAAACATTTTATTCCCATAAAATAGAATGTAGGTATAAATGTAGGTTGCAATGTCAGTAATATGTTGATTTTAGATTAACTTAAGTCCAGGATGCAAACCCATGCTTTACAAACTAAAAATGATAAAACAGGGTGAAATAGGAAGTTTCAAATCCACATTTTGAAGTGTTATATCTACGACCACTAGCCTATATGGGATTGAAATATTGTCACTTTGGTGACTCCTAGTGGTTTTATCAAAAAATACACTGTGGTCAATAGCAATGAATATACAGCTACTGCTGCTACTGCTGATATTTATTAAGCTTCATAATAGAATAATTTCACTAATCTTGTAATGTGTATCTATAACCCTTGTTTCATCAGCACTCGGGGGTTCCCCCCTAACAGCTCCCCTGTTTCTAGCTGCTATACTGCTAATTAACAGCATAGAAATATCTAAGTTATTTAAAAAACAACAGAAAATGACAGTTAGTTGATAGTTTCACCTCCTAAAAATCGACTTCTTTTTAACAGCTAAGTGATCTGTAATAGAAATAATTAAATCCAACCACAAGACATGAGTCTTCTGAGGAACTTTTTGACACTTGCTGTCATTTAGCTATTGTTTCTAGTAGTAGTACTAGTACTGATATAGTTTAAACACAGCTAACTGTTAATTTCCCTTCTGCATGGTTTGCTGAAATCCTAAATTTCAGATGTCAATGACGAGGGAGAGGTGATGAAAAAAAAAAGATTTGCGGACAGTGGGCACACCAAAACAACCACCATCATAAAATAACTTAAATAACTTCTAGAAGACAATGAACGCTTTATCTAAGTATGAGGGTGTCTAAGGGTGGAGGGTTCCTTAACATTTGATGTGGGTTTTAATTATTGAATTTTCATATCTGCTAATTGTCAGAATTGTGGCCACGACTCAAATGCAGCCAACAGATGCCAGAAAAGCCTTCCCCTGCTTTGATGAGCCCGCAATGAAAGCTGTCTTCCACATAACTCTCTTGCACCCCCATGGCACTGTGGCGCTGTCCAACGCCATGAACTACGGCAAGTAATGTAAACATGTAAACTGTAAACATGTGTGATGTTTCCTCATGTACCTTATTTCAATTACATTCTGACTACCAGATCCCATTGTTAATCTGACTGCTTAATGTGTATAATTTACAAAAATCAGTTTTTTAGTTATAAGCAGTAAAAAAAAAAATACATTTTGTTACTCTGAAGATTTCCATGGCATTATAATAACAATAATATTAACCATAGCAAGTCAGATATGACAGACTCTTACTAGTGCAGCTGCAATGAGCTTTCTTCATTTATAATAAATCTGCTGCTGTGTTTTCCCCCACACAGAACCTGTTAACATCACTTTGGAAGGCCAGAATTTAATCCAGACAAGCTTTGAACCCACAGAGATTATGTCAACCTACTTGCTGGCTTTCGTTGTGTGTGATTTTACATTCAATGGG